GTCTGGTTTAAAGTAAGTCAATAAGTATGTTGATTAGATACTAGTAAATCAATGAGTATGTTGTTTACAAGTTCCGAGGTAAAATATTTAAGTATCACTGAAAAATTTCCTAACAGATGTTTTAAGCTTAAAAATGAAGTAGTTAACTTCAGTAAATGTGTAAAATACCTAGGTATTAAAATTAACTGCAGTTTGAATTTTTCTGAACATATTAGCTATACTGCAGCTAAAATCGCTAAGATGGCTAATTTTAATATAATTATCACATCTCATTTTAAATAATGTGCTTAGTTATTCTTTGAGGCAAATGAAAACGATATTCAAATGCTTCAAAAGTTACAAAACAAAGCTATGAGAGCAATTTTATAATATGACTGTTTTACATACAGTAATGATATATTGACTAGATTAAACTAGCTATCTGTATAAGAAAGTATTCAAGTAAAAGTATTTATATTTTTACACAATACTATTCAACTACACAAAATGCATGTCTTTTAAGGATTTTGTATAAAAAACAAGAAGTACACGATTTTATTTTACAAGAAATGCAAACAACTATTGCTTAAAAAAACAGGACAAAAAAAGCGGTCAAAAGCCTATTTTTTGCAATGGGATAAAATTATACAACAATTTGCCAAATGATTTTAAATCGTTTGACAAGAAGAAATTCAAGAATTAAGTCGTGAAGCTTTTAAAAGAAAAAGGATGTTTATAAAAAAGATATGAAAAAAGGTATAATTTTATTACAATGATCTTAAATAGCTGTATACAGGCTAATCATCATCATTATGATCATCATCATCATCATCATCATCATCATCATCATCATCATCATCATCATCATCATCATTATCATCATCATCATCATCATCATCATAATGATAATAATATTTTATAAAAGATCTCGAGATGAAGGACAACAATCCTTCACCTAAGTTAAAAAATAAAAAACTCTTTTATGAACGGAGAAATTACATTAGGTACTTTTTTATTGATCTCTTTAAGGCTTTTGATCCATTCCTTTTCAAAATGTTATTATTAAAACTCAACATGGCGTAAGGAGTAAATCAAACAAGTGGATAAAAAACTATTTAGATAAACATGGAGACAATAAATTCTCTAATCCGTCTTTAAAAGAATGCGGTGCGTTTGCTTTTTTTAATCTATGTAAAAGAAATCTGTATGGCATCAAAAAGAATTTCAACTCTAATGTTTGCTAACGATAGCAACTTTTTTTTATCTCCGGAAAAATTATTCCAAATGTTTAGGGTAAACAAACTCTCTACTAACTCAAGTAAAAGGAAGTTTTCTTTATTTCATCGTTCATATAAGAAAGAAGTAGTTCTATCTTCTTTTCCGAAATTATTTATTGAAAATAGAGGAATAAGTAGGGATATTGTTGCTTAATTTTAGATTATTTTTATTAAAAAATCTAAATGGGTGTATTTATTGACAAAAATCTACATTAAAATGTTTATTCTAATTTAGATTTTTGTCAATAAAAACACTCAAAAGTTTAGTTACAATATCCCTAATTTTTAAAAATATCACTTCTCAAATAAATCTACTATAATTTTTTTATAATTATTGCAGTTATAGTTGGTTTATTTGAGTAGTGGCTTTTTGAATAAATATTGTGACTAGTATATTATTATAATAAATATTGTGACTAGTATATTATTATAATAAATATTGTGACTAGTAAATATTGTGTATATTATTCCGATACTTATATTTAAAGTATTGGATTAATATACCAATCACATTATTTATTTAAAAAAAATTACTAATAAATCTACTATAACTTTTCTCAAAGTTATCTAAACTACAGTAATATAGCATGGGGTAGTTCCTATAAAATTAAACTAGCACCTCTCTATTGTAAACAGAAGCATTCTATACGAGTGATTAATTTTAAAAATAAAAAAGAACATTTAAAACCTTTTTTTAAACAAATATCTTTACTAACATTGTTCAAACTAAATGTTTATAATGTTTTCAGTCTCATGTATAATAGAAAAATAAATTTTTGTTCTGGTTTTTTAACTAATAACCAGAACAAAAAATGTTTTTTTAAACAGTCTATTATCTTAAACATTTATTTTAGTTATTTCTATTAAATTCAAATCCATGATAGTCTCAAAATAAGGCATACATGTATTTGTAAATATTGCTTGTAATGTACTTGATCATATAACAAATTACTACATTAAATTGTTTTAGATTATATTAGAATATATTTGCAATAGTTGAAAAAGTTCCTGAATATAAAACTAGGAATTTGGGAATCTATTTTTAAATTTTATCAAAAGTTAAATTTTGCATATGCTGTATTGGGTTTGTCTTCACACTCTGGTAAATATGCATGTTTTAACTGTAAAGAATTATGCCCTGAGAATTATGATGACCTCTGAAAATCATTGAACATTTAGAAATCTTGGTTATTGTTCTCAGAAATATAACAATGACGAATGCCTAAAAAAAATTTTTTTCATAT